CCTTATATGAATATTTTCTCCTAACACTTCCAGTCTCTGGGTAGCCCACAGCAATGAAGCATTAAAAAAACAATAAAATGGTCATGTCCTCCATTGTATATTTGAAGTGCAACCTGCCTGATTGCAACAAGCACCTCCTGAAAAAATGTGATGGGTTTAGCTGGTATTAGCAGTCTCTAAAACAATTATTTATAATCTGAAATACCTGTAAAGGTTAGAAGCAGAAATGAGCATTTTGAACTAGAAATATTAGTGTGCTGGCTGGGGATTAACAAGTTGTACTTCAGAACATCTTGAAGGCATCAAGTTGAGAAGGATGCTATACGTTAAGTTTCAGATTTCATAGTTATTAAGAATTAAGCACAAAATACTTTTAACTGGATATGTCTTCCTTGGCACTTGTCATAGTACTTTAGTTTAAAGGAAGATCAACTACTGTACTCCCAGCCTGATATTTTCCAGATGTGCTAAGCTACTACAGTACTCTTAGTATCCCCAGGCAGGTCTAGTTTAAGGAAGGCTTTCCCGAAAGATCTGTAGAAAATGTGAATCAATTTTATTCCTTTATCTCTTGACAGAATTGGTCAGGACTGGGAAGTGGGCAGCCCTTTCTTTCAAGTGATAGGATCTTCCTGATCAGTTGTGGATGATCCTGTAATGGAAGGTATCTGCAAGGAGGAGACTGGTATGGGAGATCAAGGCTGTCAGGAGGGAGGTGGTGCATTCCAGAAAGGGGGCAAGGCAAGCGCTTTCTCAGTCCGAAGCAAGACCGTGAGAAGAAGAAGAGGCTTAGACTAGCCCCTCCCTAGACTCTCATATCCTCTAGTTGCTGTAGTGTAGAGTTTGTCTGGAGAGATTCTGTCTAGAGGGTGTAAGCAGATAAAGGAACTGGACTGGACTGAATTGTTTCATCGTCGTTCTTGGGCTGAGCCTGACAGATCCTGGAGACATGGATATGTGCCTGCCCTTGAGTGACTGTGTCTCTTTCCCCCTCATCCTGGTCTCAGGTGCCGGATGTGTTCCCTGACATTTTACTCCAAGTCAGAAATGCAGATCCACTCCAAGTCCCACACCGAGGCAAAGCCGCACAAGTGCCCTCACTGCTCCAAGAGTTTTGCGAACAGCTCCTACCTGGCCCAGCATATACGCATCCATTCAGGGGCTAAGCCCTACACCTGCAGCTACTGCCAGAAAGCCTTCCGCCAACTCTCACATCTACAGCAGCACACACGGTAAGGGCCGATGAGATTGCGGTGGGGAGGCATCCATGATGCATGCTGTCAGCATCGTAGCATGAGGCAAGTGCCCATGGGGAGACTGCTCAGAGCATCTCAGCCATTTCCTGCCAGTTGGTCCATGCTTACATTGTGCAGAGAGCAGAGGGGCCTCTTAACGTATGCTATCTGGTCCTTTACCAAAGAACAGTCGGTGCGAAAATTGAGAGGCTATTGAGCCGTCAAAGACAGGGGTTCTCATGATCTCTGGAAGACTGAAATCTGTAGGTGCAGGACTGACAGCCTCCCCACTTCACATTACAAAAACACTTGCTGAGCAGCTCCTTCACCCTGCTTCCCCAGCCTGGGGTTTCCCATACACACACACTCCTACCACCACTGACTCCTCTCTCTGGCCTCCTGGTCTTGCACTCCCTTTTGTGGAGTTCAGGGCAAGAATCCCACTTGGTTTTCCTCCACTGTAGCGAGACAGCATGGTACCATTCCTCATGTTGTCATTGCTAGCCAGCTGGCGGTCATGTCCAACTGCTGCCCCTGCTCCTCCTCTTCGGCAGGATCCACTCCAAGCTCCACACGGCGATTGTCAAGCCACACAAGTGCCCTCACTGCTCCAAGAGCTTCGCCAACACGTCCTACCTGGCCCAGCACCTCCGCATCCATTCGGGGGTCAAACCCTACACGTGCCGTTACTGCCAGAAGGCGTTCCGCCAGCTCTCCCACCTACAGCAGCACACACGGTAAGGGCCAAGGAGGCTGGGGGCCCAGCCTGGCCCCCCGTGCCGTCAGCATGCACCGTTTTGGAGCACACACGCCAAGCATGCAGGGAGAGGGTGGGGGATGTAGCCAGCCCTGTCAATTGGAAAGATGTGACCCACCAGAGAGGAAGGAGTGAGAGCTGCAGAGGAGACACTGACCATGCCAGGGCAGAAGCGAGGATGTACTGGCCTGGGGAAACCCTTTTTCACTCCCCCTCCAGGGGGTCACAGAGAGAGAGAGAGAGAGAGAGATTGAGGCAGACGTGGGCTAGAGCGGGGGTGAATCTACAGGGAAGAAAGAAATGGCAGCCTGTATAAGGAATGTATGGCAATGTTCCTTGATATTTTAGAGGATAAATATGCAATTTCCTTAGTTATTTCGGCCAGGCATTGTGTGTGTGTGTGAGAGAGAGCGCATTCTTTGGCATGGTGGAGGGCAGAATTAAAAGAAGCAACTTCAATTTGGACCGAGATCTAGTTCTCCAGTCCTTTGCCCTGGTGCTGCCACAGGTGGCTGCAGTAACTGAGAGTTTGCCTCTTGCCTGTGAGCTGCTTGTCCCTCTCCTTTTTTTTCTGCATGCTCTTGCGGGCTTTTCTTCTGAGCTTAGCTAGCTAAGCTGGACTAGGAAGGAGGTGGCATGTGGCTTGATCAAAGAGACGAGGAAATAAGTTGGTGAAGGACGGTGCATCTCTTGCTTGCCTAGCTCAGCTGGAGGGCATCTTCAGAACATCTGGGAGTGGGTTTCTATGCTGACTTTTCTTCTGCTAATCTTTCCTTTCTATCTATCCTTTTTGTAATAGGATTCATACTGGAGATCGGCCCTATAAATGTGCTCACCCTGGCTGTGAAAAGGCTTTCACGCAACTTTCAAATTTGCAGGTAAGGCTTTCAGCTTCCTCTAGGTCAATCTCTAGAGCAGTGTTTCTCAATCTTGGTGACCTTAAGATATGTGGACTTCAACTCCCAGAATTCCCCAGCCAGAAGTCCACATATCTTAAAATCGCCAAGGTTGAAAAACACTGCTCTAAAGGGACATATTGTTGGTCTGTATATCCAGCAACTTGGGACTGTGGTTGGAGAGCATTGGGGTGGCAATAGCCTTTTATTTAAGCATTTGCCAGATAGCATTAGGCCAGAAGAGATCCCATGCAGGTGAATCTAAAGGACATATGCTCAGTACTGAAATGTATCAGGTTGCTTCAGAAAGGATGGAGTTTGTTTGTTTGTTTATTAAATTTATATGTCGCCCATCTCCCCCAGGGAGTTCTCCATCCCTTCTCTGCCAGCGTTCTATTTCTTATCCAGGCTGAACACTTGTGGACTTACTCAAAAGCTGGGAGGCATGGAGGGGTGGGGGGAACCAACACATTTTAAGGATGTTGCACTTAACTCCTCTTTATTTCATTGGGATCAATGTTCAATTACTGATAGTCAGCATCCAATCCATAGTTGTTACTAGTAAGAATAAAATTGCTCACTAGAGATTGTACAATGATTAAATATGATCCCAATCAGTGGGTAACTTTGAATCAAAGTAAACAAAAGAAAGTTGACATTTATGTAAAGAACACAGGGAGGAAGATTTTTTGCGTTTGTCTGTTACAATGTGTGGTTTGATTTCATTTTTACACTTTTGTAATCATATAGTTTACAGCAATTCTTAGCTCTTGCTGTTAGGAAAACCTAACATAATTTGACCAATAGCCTGACTGGGAACTGTGACAAACCTAAATAGTGCTGAAGGAAAATAAAAAGTGTGATCCTGAGAATGTGTTTTTATTGGGGAAGAGGAGGCTGGTGATTCAAACTAACTTCTTTATCAAATGTCACAGATATAGAATCCATCTTTGCTAAGGCTGTTGTTCAAAAATTAGCAGAGGTTGTCATTCTTACAGCCAGAACAGATCTTAATTTAAATATGCTATTTTAGGTCTTGCTCACTACCTTCAATACCCAGATTGGTTGCCAGGAGGAAGATAGGTGGCAACCACAGCTATACTGCTCAGCGTTAATCACCTTTAACAACATTAACATGTTATTTGTTTGTTTGTTTGTTTAGCAACAATAAGCTCACTGCTCTGGCTTTGTCTTAAAAACAAAGTTAAAGTCTGTGTGTGTGGCATTTGAGTCAGCATGGTGTACAATGTAGTTCTATTGGGAAGGTAAAATGGATGTAGCTGCAAATTTTGGACAAAAGGCAAGATAAAACCAAAACAAATGATGGGGGATATAGTTACATAAATCTTATGTAAGTTACCAGCTTGGAAGATACATAGATACACACACATATACATACATACACACAAGTGTGTGGTTTTTATTTAAGAAGTAGCATTATTAGACTTCTGAAGCATGAACAGTAGATGGTTTCTGATTTCTGTATCATGACTAATATTGGAGAGTGGAGCAGGATAAGATAGTACTAGGTTTAGTTTCAACTCACTGCCCTTTTTCTCACCCCCTACCACTCTAGTCCCACAGAAGGCAGCACAACAAAGACAAACCCTTCAAGTGCCACAATTGCCACCGAGCATACACAGATGCCACCTCGTTGGAGGTTCATCTAGCCACTCACACAGTGAAGCATGCCAAGATTTACAACTGCTCCATGTGCAATCGGGCCTATACCTCGGTAAGCACAACTTAGTTGAAAGAGGGAGACAACGGGAGGACCAGTTGGCCACTGTTAAATCAGAGGAGAGCTCTGGAAACAGATTCCTGCTGTGTCCCATGGGTGTGCACCATCCTCTTAATGGAATGGAAGAGTTGGTCTGTCTGCTTGCATCCATGGCTCTGATTTTATTTTGTGCCTCTTTTTCGCTGCAGGAAACATATCTAATGAAACATATGCGGAAACACAACATCCCTGACCCCCAGCAGCAGGTGGCTGTGGTCCAAGCGCAAGTCCAGGCTCAGTCACAGGCATCGCAACAGCAGCAGCAGCAACAGCAGCAGCAGCAGCACTTCCAAGCACAGGGCGGTGGAGCAGCGGGGGGTCCATCCGGAGACAACCCGCCCAACCCCCCCCCACAGTGTTCTTTTGACCTTATCCCTTATAAAACTTCGGAGCACCACAAAGACATCTGTCTCACGGTTAGCACCAGCACCATCCAAGTGGAGCACCTTTCCAGCTCTTAGAGACCTTGGCTGAAGAGGGGAGTGGAAAACTTCTCCTGCATCATCTGTGCCCAAGGGCAGTTCTTTTGTGATGGCCTCTCCTCATGCAGCAGCTTATGACAGCTTCCCCTTGGGGGGAGGGAAATGGGGATTATATCTATTTAGTGGCCACTCCTTGGCTTTACCATTAGTGCCTCAAGAGGCACAACCTCCCCCTGTAAACGGGGGACAAAACTCTCTTTGTGCAAGAAGAGGGCTCCTCCCTTTCAGCAAGCCTCTCTTGTTCATTAAGGGAAACCCCAGCTTTCTCTCTCACTTGATAAGGTATCCAGCAGAGATGAGAAATGAGGGGATACCAGTGGATGAAAGGAGCTTCAGCAGTGACTGATTGCAGGTGAATGAGGGCATGCAACTGGGAGTCTTCCAAAGATTCCCTTTGAGTGTAGACTGGAGAACGTTTGCGCGTTTTGCCGCTCCCTTCCCCCACCCCCTTTCCCATGAGCTGGAGGGAGGGGGGAAGAATGGTTGCTCCTGTTCTAGGCATCAAATGTTACTCGGCTTACAAAACCATGAAGATAATGGGATGTTGCTGGTGACTGACATCTGTGTCTGCATAAACCATAACTGTAGGGTGCTGTGGAGGGGGGGGGTGCCTAATCTTTTCCCAGCCAACTTCAGGAAGAATTAGTGAGGGATGGGAAGGTGGGTACTGCAGCTTAGAAACTTTTGTGGTTTAACTTCCACCATAACGTTAAGTCTGCTGCAGGCATCAAGTCTAAACCAAAAAAAAAAATCGCCTAGTGGTAAGAGTGCCAAAATGAGCCCTCCCCCCAGGAGAGAGCTGAGGATTGTTTTTTTGTCTTCACTCCCCTCCCACCCCTTTTCCCCATAAATGCATTCTGGAACCCAAGGCTCAAAGGAGGTCTTTGGGGGAAGCCCCTGGGGAAGGGAACTGTTGAGCTACTTCTCTCTACGGTCCAGATGCTTCCTTCACTCTCCTTATTACCAAGCCAGACTGGAAATGAGATGGCTGTAGTGTGGTGACACTTGGAGAGCAAGAATCAGAGGAATCTTCCAGGGGGTGAACAGTGGAGAAGAGGAGATGGTGGAAACAGTCACTCCTGCACTGCACAGAGAGACCAATTAGAAGGGAAAAATTCCCAAGCAACAGACTCGAGCCCTCTCCCCACTTGAATTTATATATAAATATATATATATAAATCTATATACAGATAGTTGGATAGATATATCTATTCACACCTCAACCCCATCCAGCCTGCTCTGTCCTTGCTGTAACTGTTTCTATCCGTGTTTATAAAACTGCATTATCCTTGCACACTTTTATTTTCAGTCCTTGATTTTTATCCCTCATACTCAGTTGCTATCTTCATCTTCAGAGTATTTCCCCCTTCTTGCTTTAACCTTGTAGTTTCCTGTTCCATCATTTCAATATTCTGGTTATCACTTGGCCCACGGAGGCACAAAAAGAGGCCCCCAAACCTGATTGAGTTTTAAGTGAAATGTCTCTAGTAGGCCTGCAAATACTGTAGATTAAGGGGTGGAAGAACTTTTATTTTCGAATATTGGTGCATAAAAACAAATCAGTTCAGGTGCCTTTCCATACAAATGAAGATTCTGCCCATTGTTAGCAGTAGATGGATACCCAAGGCAAGTATATTGAGGTTTGCTTGTTCTTCCCTCAGTCATGAGAGAGCAGACTGCCTTCTGCGCGAACTGCACTGCTTTCTTGTGTGCTAAAAGCAGTGTTATGTGAAGACAAACTCGTAAGTGACTTGATAATCCCACACATTTGGGATGGACCAGGACTGATGGATGTTCCTCTTCCCTGCCTCCCCCCTCCAGCCCACACGAAGTCCTACTGAAATCTAAAAGGTGCATAAACATTTCAAGATTGTGCTTTGGCTGCAGGGATTATGGTGAACTTGAGTGTGTGTGTGCGTGTGTGTGCTGTTTCTATGTTGGGCATGGGTATGAATTTTGTGTGTGCATGTGTCCCTGCACTTTGTGTACATGCACGTCTGGCAAAATCCTGCACTTCCTTTCCCTCAGGGTATGAATTTTCTGGACCACATAACACGTCCATGATCATTGTTACAAGCATTGTAAGAGCTACAAGAGTTGTCTCTTGTTTTCTGAGAACAAGGCTGACAGAATGATGAGTGTGAGCAGACCTGTATTTGGGGCTGTAACTGGTGGTTGTGTGCTAATTTATCTAGCTTGTGTACACTTGGCAGAACATCCTCACAGTCATGAGAGACATAGATGATTTTTTTTCCAGAAGCTTCCTTATTTGTAACCAGTTTAATGGCTTGAAGGGCCATGTAAAATAAAACAGGAAGGGTTCTTTTCCTGACAGGGCAGTAAAGAGGCTAAGGTTGTGGGCAGGCAATAACTTTTTATGAATCTGTACTGAGAACACTGCTGATACTGATGGTACACATAATCTGTACACCTTTTCTAGTTATGTCCTCTGGTTAACAGGTTGCCCCTGCACAAGAGAATGCATGTACAATGTATATTGGTGTGGACGTAGGAATTACAGAGTCAAAGAGGCTGACCAGGTGAGGAATATAACAGTAGCTTGCCTATGTGGGAAGAGACTTTTCCTTTCGCCTATGTCTTACATGCAGTTTTTTGGATCAGTATTCTGACTTCTAAGCTACTCCAGAGAGAAGAGATAAAAAAATGAAGCTTGAGTGAGAGAATTCCAGAGATTTCCTTATGGTGGTAGAGAAAGCATTTTCCCACAGATGCAGTGTTAAAGCTAACCAGTAGAGACACACCAAGTCAAGAAATGCCAAATGATGTTGAGGCATTGGGCAATGTTTGTGCTTTCCTCAATATTTTTCCATCTTCAGTGAAGAGGACAGTCACTGAATGTTAAGGAGACAATTCTGTTTGCTCTTACCTTTTCAAATTGCCACATTAGTTCAGTGTGGGTAACTTTCAGCTGTTCTTAAGAATCTTTCATATTGCGTTTCCCAGAGGGGGGGGGGTATTTTAAATTTCCAACCTTAATATTGCATTAGAACTTTTTGTATTTAATTTCATTACTTTTTTTAAAGAATAAATTCCAAAAGCCCTCTTAATGTTAATGAAACTTTGTGTGTGTGGTTAAGTTCTCTACCAATTAAGCATGATAGTAATGTGGTTATAAGTGAAGCATCCTCTATGTTCAAAGCTTATTAGAAATTTTTAAAATATACGCTGTTCAGGCCCACATATTTTCCTGAAGACTGGATGGCCAGGTCTTTGTTCACATTATTAACTATTTCCCTTTTGCCCTTCCCCTTTGTACTACTTCCAAAGTAGGAGTGACTTTATTGTCAGATTAATGCTACTCTCTGCTGTGTATGTGGATGCTCTGTTCTCTGATCTCTTTTGTTGCCCGGATCAAATATCTTGATTCTCTCCTCTTGCCTTTTCCCCCTTGAACTTGTCTTTTGCCCATCCACCAGAGAACCATGGATTTATGGGTGTTTCGCTATTTCCTGGGAAGCACCCAGGTCTGTATGGATCTTGTGATAATTAAGATTATGGATCTGAGTGGCCAGAACTCAGAAATGCTCTGGGTGGCCAGAATTCAGCCCATATGTTGTATACTTCATAATTGTGTTGCCCTTTCATATTTCTACATCAAGGACGGTTCACCAAATAGATTAAATCAACAGATGTAACAGCTGAAACTTACTACTGTACAGATTCAGATGAAACGAACTAGAGAAAATAGCGGCAGTAGAAATGACACGTTCAAGTCATATTTTTAAAGTTGGGCAATAAAAACATCTTTGTCTAGACTTTCTAAGACCAAGTGTCAGGAAAATGAGCGTTCCGGAAATGTAGCAGCACATTTCGCATTTATCTAGCCTTGAAAGGCAAGCGAGCCACAGAGTGGTTTTCTAAGAGAATTGCAGTAGGCGAGCAAGTTTATGAGGCAGAAGATACTCCTGTATGTCTCAGGCCATTTAGATGTCTAAAGATGATGTTTATTAAGAGCAATATGTTTAATGTTAAAGACAACATATTGATCCTCACCACCCGTAATTACTTTGAACCAACTGCCATTCTTGAACTGTCTCCAAAGGCGGCTCCACCTAACAATATCTTTCAGGGGTCCAAGTAGAATGTTACAAAGGGATGGGTAAGCTTTGTCTAGGGCCAGCTGTGGAATGCTGGGAGTTGAAGTCCACACATATTACAGCTGCTGAGGTTGAGAAGCACTGGTCTAGGGGATGCTTCAGCTGGAAAAGCTGCTTCACTCTGCATGAGGTTGCTTAGCTCAAATTGGTCAGTAGAGGCCCATCGGAAGCTCAAGCTGTGCACCTGCATCTTAGGAACAAGAGTGAGCCAAAAGTGTAACAGGTTAATGTGGATTATTTGCAACAGAGCTAGTGAACGTTTCTGACCCAATTATAAACAAAGCATGGGAAGTGAACTTGCATGTGAGAAAGGTGTGGTTTGATACAGAAAACAGTTTCACTTACTAAACATATGCTCAAACTAAGTAATTCTTTTACAATTGACACCAAACAATGAATCTTGACTTTCCCATTAAAAAACAAAACCCCAATGAAGATTTCAAGCTTATACCCTTCTGTGTTTTAACCAAGGCAACCGATCAGGTTGGATGTTATAATCAATAATACTAAAAGCTGCCAAGAAGGCCACCTGAATTAGGGTGGCTCACACTCCTAGTTGCTTTAGAACAACTAAAGCTGGTTCGGGATTGGATCCAGGTCTGAAGTCAGATTGACTATTGATCTGTTTTGGACTCATCCAAGAGTGTATCATATTTCTTTCATTCATTCATTCATTCATTTGTATGCTGCCCATCTCCCCCCAGCGGATGACTCTGGGCGGCTTACTATCATATCCTATGGTAAATATGCACTGAAGTGAATTTATTCCCAAAGGATATATTTCTGTCTGGCCAATAGCCATCACAATCCCTGGTGTCACCAGAAGCTTTCTTTGGGTTGGCTTTATAATTATCTTTCAAGGAGATAGGACTAGCTGTTCTCACAGATGGATGTTAAATTGCCCTGCAGGACAAATAAAACACATGCCTAACAGGTTACTCTCTATTATCTGCTAATTGTGTCTTCAGGCCATAACAGATTCATCCAATAAAGCCTTGGGGTTTCAGCAGCTGCTACAAATTGCAAGATCTATCTGTAATATTGTACAACTATTCTCATCTGCAATTTAATTGTGGATGTCAGGGCAGGCCTGATTTGCATTACCAAAACCTGGATGGGCAGCGTTCCTCTCTCAGAGGTCTGCCCACCTGAGATTCAGGTTTGGCACAAACTCTGGTCCCACTGTAGGGTGGGGATGAGAGTAGCTATCGTCAGCCATCAAGAGGCCCTACTCCTCACATAATTGTGAGATCTCGTTTGCATCGTTAGGCCCAAAGGGGGCAGTTGAACTGATTGCTGTTCCCCTGCTGCCCAGACAGCATCCCTAGCAGGGCTGCTCCACCTAATTGCTGAGATGGCAGTAGAGTTCCCCAAACTGGTGATGTGGGATATTTTCAACTGGCCTTCCCTAGCCAAGGGACTGAAGTGGCTCAGACGTTCTGGCCACCATAACCACCATGGATCTGACCCAGTTACTGAGGGCCCAATACACATAAAAGGTCACATACTACAAGTGAAACTCGAAAAATTAGAATATCATGCAAATGTTCATTTATGTCAGTAAGGCAA